TTTGGATTTACTAGTTAAATGCCGATATATAGTCAGTTTATGATATTTGCCAACAACATTGATACACAACACAGTTTTCTTTTTATATAAATACATTTTAATATACACTCACAACAATACAAATTTCAATAACAGTTATGACAAATACTTATTATAAACAATGATTTTTAAACAAAAGTTTCACAAACTTACAAGCAATATAAAGTCTTACTTTTAGTCTGGAATTTCCTTGATATCTTATCGAGTGGATGTAGGTACGATTCTCTTAACGGGAAGCTAGCTAGCTTTCTCCTTCGTTATTTATTAGCCACACACACCATAACGTTATGTAATATTTTCGTAAAAATGCTAATATCCGACGAGAATCCACTGAAGTTAAATGAGTTAAATGCTCGAACTTTGTAAATGCACCTGGTCAAATATCTGAAGTTTCCGATTGATAAGCGTTATAACAATCACAGTTATAGCTTCCAAAGTTTGTAGTACACTGACTATAGCAAACTAATAATAGATACTCTCCTTCTGGCATGTCGCACTGGTTATATTTATAGGCGTGTAGAGGTTTTATAGAAACTTCAGTTTTACATAATAATACTGACGCTAACACATGAGTTTATATTATGTACACACATATTGTTGATTCTTACTCTCGAGAATCTTCTACAACTTTGGAGAATAGGTGAGAGTTTCGCAATACATATTTAACAGTATAAGCCATGTATGTTTCTAAATACAAATTTAATCCAAACAAACGTTGATATTAAAATAAATAAATTTGACTCATTTTCTTTGGTAGATTGCTTGTTAAATGAGTTTTGTGGAAAGGTACTTGATGGCTATCTTCGCTAGCCATCACTAATTTTGAAATGATAAACTAGAGGAAAGGCAGCCAATCAGCACCAACTCTTGGGCTACTCTTTTACCAACAATATGGGAGTTGGCCATCACATTACAATGTCCCATGGCCTAAAAGGGCGAGCATTTTCAGTTACAAATTCGAACCTGCAACTCTTAGGCTGCGAGTTGATGCCTTAATGACCAAGCCATACCCTCTCGTTAGTATAGATCTGATCAGTCATAACTAAATCTTTCAATCACTGAACTATCTAAGTTCATCTTACTATTCCTTTTGATTTGCAATTTTCATATTCTTTCTTGATTAGATTCTAACATTTCTGGAGAACCTCACTTTCTGATTTATTTAAATTCAACAAGAATCTGACCCTGACCTTCTTCTTATTATTCAAATATTTATGAAGCCTTCCCTAAAATTTATTGATTGAACTTTTATACACTATGATAACAGGTCATCACAAATATTCCTTCCAACATTACCTTTCCAATGTGACTAGGGTAAACATCATTTTTGGGCATTCTCCCTGTATATATTAGCTAGGTTAGCACTCTAATACTAAAGGTAAACAACTTTGTAAAAACAACAAGGGACTTGCACCAAAATCCCGATACAAATGTTTATTTGTTTTTTATGGATTTCGTGCAAAGCTACACGAGGGCTATCTGTGCTAGCCATCCCTAATTTAGCAGTGTAAGACGAGAGGGAAGGCAGCTAGTCATCACCACCCACTGCCAGCTCTTGGGCTACTCATTTACCAACGAATAGTGGGATTGACCATCACATTATAATGCCTCCATAGATGAAAGGGCGAGCATGTTTGGTGTAATCGGGATTCGAACCCGTGACCCGCAGATTGCGAGTTTGTTGTTAAGTGCAAAACTGTGTGTTAGGGCATCTGTGTTCTGTCTACCATAGGTATCAAAACAGTTTTTAGCACTATAAGCTCTCAGACTCAATGTTGAGTCACTAGGAAGGAGTGGGGGCACCCAAAGAAGTAATATAAGCTTTTTATTACAGTTTTCACCTTAAGTATTTTACAGTTTTTCACCTTAAGAGATATTCTCAACTTTTTAGTGTATTACCATTTTTCACCACAGTTCACTATTCACTTTGAAAGTTCTTGTAATTTCTACTTAGGTTAAGTAAAAAGTGTTTTAGAAATAATTAAGATGAAATGAGAAACTATGATAAATAGTAATACAAACAAGAGTTTAAACTATGGTCTACTATGATAAAAAGTAATACAAACAAGAGTTTAAACTATGGTCTACTATGATAAAAAGTAATACAAACAAGAGTTTAAACTATGGTCTACTATGATAAAAGTAATCTCAAAAAGAACATAAACTGTTGTACACACACTGTGATAACAAGACATCTAAACAAGAGCTAAAACTGTTGTACAGACATTATGATAAAAAGTAATCTCAAAAAGATGTTAAACTGTTGTACAGTATGATAACAAGACATCTAAACAAGAGCTAAAACTGTTGTACACTATGATAACAAGACATCTAAACAAGAACTAAAACTGTTGTACAACAGTTTTAGCTCTTGTTTAGATGTCTTGTTATCATA